CTAATTTCAGCAACAAATCAACCAACCAACTAACATATGAATAAAAGAATTAAACAATAAGATGTTTCTAACATTACAGAAAATAATTGTGGTGACTCTTACTTCAAAATCAGATAATAATAATGAGAATAACTGATATTCATTAAGTTCTTTTCATGTCCCAGTTCCATGCTAAATGCTTTTCTTCATGTTCTTATTTATTCTTCACAATTCTTTGATATGTGGTTTAATACCCATGTTTTACAGATAAAAGAACTGAGTTAAAGAATAACTTGCTGACGGTCACACTGTACAAAAGAGGCAGAGTTGGCTCTTAAGTAAAGATCTTTATGACTCAAAAACCCCGTGTGTCAATCACCATACCATAAGCATTTTTCTAAAAGTAAAATTACTTATCAACCAATTTCAGAAAAAAATTAAATTCTCATGCTATCTAGGAATAAATTCCAGGTGGGTAAAATAGCTCAATATAAAATGCAAAACTACATGAAATGATAAAATATTGGAGAAGTATTTTTATACAAATACTTCACTTGAGTGAAGGAACCCTTTATAAGTATGGAATACATACCATAAATCGTAAAGAAAAGTAATGACTGATGAAGCTAATTAAAAATGTTATGAAACTAATTAAAATGTTAACTGTGAAGAAATTTACAATTTAGATTACAAAGGGTTAACATCTATTACATATAAAGAAACACATATACACTCATGTATTTTTCTAAAAGTCAATAGAGAAAACAATTAGCTAATAACTTAATAAAGAAATCAAATTAGGTTAATAATATGCATAGAACTGTCATGGTAAAATCATTACCTTTATTGACAATTAGAAAACAAATCAAATCATAATATTTTATTGCATAAAATAGAGAAAAATAGAAAAATTAACAATAGAGGATTGATTAAATAACTTATAGTGGTTCCATATGCTGGACTTTGCAGCCATTAAAAAATAGATTGACCTATATATGTTGATAAGAAAAGTGTGATTTACTATAAAATTAAAAAGTAACTTGCTGAACAGTGATAAATCATCTTTATTTGGTCTCATTTCTAGCTGGTCTTTCTTTCTTTTCTTTTGTTTTCCTTCCTTATTCTCTGTCTCTCTCCCTTTCTCCCATCCTTCCTTCCTCTCTCTCTCTTACTTTTTTTCAACAAATATCAGTTTGCATAAAACATCCAATTTTTTAATATATATGTGGAACTTGGCCATAACTGTGTTATGACATTCAGACCCATTCAAGTGGGACCATGTTTTCTCAAAATTCTCTTCTACATTTACCTGAAATCCACTTGTTTAAATCTTATCAAAATGCTCTTGTAATAATCAAGTTTCTGACTAATCAGTAGCTTCTTCTTTCATTCCAGTGGTGCTCACAGTTGTAATGATTTGTTTTCCTTAAAGCCATATGACTCCAAAATATGCAAGTGATTGATCTTAGTCCTGCTAGTATCAGAAAAGTCAGACTTGTTGAGAAACCAAAGCCAGATCGCTTTCTGTCTAGTTGATTCCCCTAGGCTATAAAACATGTAGGCTTTAAAAAATTTTTTTGAAAGCAATGAAAACCACATGCTTTATATTTTCAGTTTCATTGCTTTATGGTTTCATTTTGTTGCTTTGCCTGCTTACAAATCAGCCTTCTCATTCTCAAAAGAGAATAAAAATAAAATCAAATAAAATGAAATCAACCCCCAAATAAAATCGACCTATTTCCCAATAAATAGACCCATTTCCCCAAGAGCATGAGAAAGTTTAAATGTCTGATGGAGCTAGTAAAATATAGGAACTATTAAAGAGCAAATCAATTTAGCCAGGATAGTATTTTTTCATAAAACAAAATGAATAAAATATTATAATATATAAAGATAAAGAGGACATTTTCTGCCAATTCTTCTTAGAGTGATAAGAGTATTTTCAAGTTTACTCTCTTAATTAGATATATTGGTTAAATTAAGTATTGATAAGATTTATCCTGAGGTTAGAAATATATGGAGCCCTACTATCTATTAGATTAATTTTTTGGAACTTAGTCTCTGATAAAAAGTAGCCAATAAAATGTTTTGGATTTTATCATTGTTTAATCTCTATCTGTTTAAGATTTTTTCTAACATAAGTCTTTTACTGTCAAAATAGTACTTTATTATTGAGTTGATAATCGTTAAATTAAATAAGATTACACTTTTGAACTTTTTGTTTAAAGAAGAAATACAACAGTCTTAGATTTTATTTTATTTTTCAACTTCCAGCAGTATGGGAGAAAAAGGGAATTTCCAAGTAAGGAACTGACTTACCAAAGGAAACTCAAGTATTTCTTTCAGGGAACAGAGATACAAATTTAAATATTATTGCTAGGACATAATATTATTAAATAAGAGAACCAGTTAAAATTACAGCCTCTTTAGAGGTTAAGGTTACTTCCACAGGACATGGAAACAATCTTAAGTCTGCTTATCAGATAGTACTAGTTGCCACAGATAGAGACAGAGACAGAGACACAGGGAGTCTGGGAGTGATGGGGTTCTAAGATAAAAATGTTCAATGTAGGAAAGCAAAAGGCAGATTAGAAGATGAATAAATGAAGTAATGACCACACAGTGTTTTGTGTCTACATTACTAAGTCCCTAAATTGGCTGAAGATCCATGAGATAAAGGCTTAACTTCCAACTTGTTACAATGACTTTCTTGAGAATTATCAATTTCTACATCCAGGAACAAATATAGAACTAAACACTATTTGAGAAAAACTTCTTAAAAATACGTTTAAAATTATTAATTAATTTGAAAAAAATCCCATTAAACGATGTCATAAACTTAGTAACAGAAATGTTGGTATACCACTGGCCAACGTTTTTACTTACCACTAACCTCGAGAAGATGTATAGTGCTGACCAGTCATCAGTCTACCTTTTCTTTGGTGCAATCATCTGCCTAGTGTCTGGGATGACTCTCCTCTCTCCTCAATCTCCAACATCTCTTCTACCCTTCTCACTCTTCTCTGTTTCCATTGGGGAAAAGGAAGAATTTTCCTGTAGTCTCACCACCTCTTCTCTCCCTGCATGCCTAGACTTTGCTTTCCTCCTTCTAAAGATGACAAGTCACATCCCTATGTAAGGCCAATCACTCCATTTGTCTCCTGGGTCTCATCCCCTCTCTCCTGCTCAAAGATACGGCTTTTGTAATTGTGTTCTCTTTCTTCAGTATCACTCGTTTTTCCTCCCCTTACTGGATCATCCCATTCAGCTTCCAAAAAAGCTTTAATAGCCCTCGTCTTTAAAAAATCAAAACAGTTCCTTGATACCCCTCTTTCCTTTCAGTTGCCCCATTCTCTCTCTTATTTGCAGCAAAATCTCTTGAATGCATTGTCTAAACTCATTGTCTCTAATTCTTTTCCATCTCCCTTGAACCTATTCAATAAAGCTTTCCTCCCTACTTCTGCCAGAGCAGTGATTTTCAAGGTCAATGGTAACCCCTACACTGACACATTTGATGGTCAGTTCTCAGGCCTTGCCCTACCCTACACACTGAAGTAGCAGAGTATTACCTTCTTTTGGAAACCTATTCGTCCATTTGGCTTCCACAACCAGCTCTCCCGTGGGTCTTTTCCCACGCCATTAGTTGCTGCTTTTCATTATCCTTTGTTATTTAATATGTCCTCATTTTCTCAAAACTCTAAACTTTGAAGGACCTGGGAGCTCTGTCCTTAGATCTCTTCACTTCTCTATCAACACAGACCTTTTAATTAAATGCATCTAATCCTGTGGTGGATAACATCCTAATGTGTAGCTCCCCACTGCACCTGTCCACTGACTTAGACTTGTATATCCAGATACCCAATTGACATCTTCACAGTAACATCTAATAGGCACCTTCCACCGTAATATTAACATATCCAAAATTGAACTCTTCTTTGTTTGCTTTATTTTCACTAAAGTCTACTCCTTCCCATGGTCATTCAATCTCAGTAGATGACACCTCAATTTTCCCATTTGCTTGGTGAAAAAACAAATCCTTGACTCCTTTTCATTTCTACCACCTTTAATCCATCAGTAAATTCTATCAGCTCTTCTTTCAAAAATATACCCAGGATCTGATCACTTCTCCCCTACTGCCATTGTGGCATGCATGTGGACAATTGCCTTCTCACTTGTCACCTTCTTTCCCTCTGTGCCTGAACTGAAAATCTTTCAATAGCTTCTCCTTTTATTATTAGTAAAAATCTAGTCCTTTCCATAGAAGAGAAAAGGCTCTATGTTACCCCTCCCCCCGCCAGCTTCTCTCTGAACCATTTCTACAACTCCCCACTTGCACACTGTCCTCCAGTTGTGCTGACCTCTTTGCTATTGTTGGAAAAGCATCAAACACATTCCTGCCTCAGGGCCTTTGCACTGTTTCCTCTAGATAGTCCTCCAAATAGTCCTCCAGATAGTGCCATGGCTCTTTCTCTTACTTTCTTCAAGTTTCTGTTCAGATGGCACCTCATCAAGGAGGCCTTCCCGATTACCCCACACACATTTGGCACCTCCATCTCTCCCTACCACTCTCTTTCCTTCTTTAATTGTCTTCATTATATGTATTGGTCTTGACATCTTCTTTGTTTGTCTCTTTTTTTATGGCCTGTTTCCTTCTATTATAACAAATTCCTTGAATTCAGGGATCATCCTTAGTCCCATAATACATACTCAATAAATAAATACCAAAGGAGTGAGTAATTGAATGATAGCCACCAATTCTTGAGCACTATAAGACAGATATTATGCTATATTTACCTTACCTCATTTAATTCTTTCAACAAACTCCTGTTGTTCTCATATTATAGCTGAGGAAACTGCAGTTTAGAAAAATTAAGAAATTTGCTCAGAGTTTCTCTGTAGTAAATGGAGTCTGTAGGGCTGGAAAGCCCACACCAAAGTGGGCTTTGTATCATTGATGCATTAAAACTCATTCTCACAGACATTATTTTATTTTATTTTTTATTTATTTATTTATTTATTTATTTTTTTAACTGAAAGAGTTGACAATTTTATTTTCACATTTCACAATACAAATGAAGACTGCCCTTTTTTTGGTTCTACTTCTTCCCTTCAAAACTATTCTCTCTTTGATAGCAAGGGGGAGCAAATTTTCCTTATGTAAATAAAACACCCAGAGTCACAGCATCATGATCTCCTGGTGAAGCAGAACAAGTAATATAAAACTGACATAAAGAGACCTCCCCTCTATCCTTATCTGTCTGGTCGAGTCATTCCTGGCCGAGTGGGCACCATCATGGGACAGGCGGGAGGTCTCATCATTGGGGGCCCAGGCATCATTGGCATGTGACCTCCCATGGGTGGCCTCATTCCAGGAGCACTAAGCGTTTGTTCGGAGTTGTAGGAAAGGTGAGCAGGAGGCCCATGCTGAGAACCAGGTCCCACTGGCATCATCCCAGGAGGAGGAGGGCCCATCATTGGCATCATGGGAGGGCCCCCCATATGGGGTGCTGGCATCATACCAGGGCGAGGAGGACCAGGAAGACTGGGGGGAGGTGGAATCATCGCCCCTGCAGGAGGAGGAGCAGAGAACGGAGTAGGAGGTATTTTTCCTTGTTGAAATGCAGCCGTTGTTTTGTCAATCAGGCTCTGGGCCTGCTCTTCCATCCATTTCTGGTAGTAGTCTTTCACATTTTCTTTGTGTTTCCTACCACTGCAGTGTGTCTTTCTCACAGATGGAGAATCATGGGTGAGGTACGTATCGCAGTAGTCACAATAAAACTTGGGCATGTTCTCTCCAGGCCGTTGGCTACTCCGTTCTGTGACGCCCGGAAATCCATTATTTTATTTTTATTTTGACCTTCCAAAGAACTCCATGAGAAAGCCAGGAAATATTTTTATTATCCTTGTTTAAACAGTGAAACAACTCTGGCTTAGAAGGTTCAGATATTTATTTAGAGTCAGAAAGATAATCAATGTCATAGTTGGAATTTTAATGATTGCATCCCAAGCACAATAAAGGAATTGCTTCAAAGTCGTGAATTTATTTTACAAAATAACTTGCCAAAATTAAAAAAAATTAAAGGACAATTAGCTTACATGGGAATAATTACTTTTATTAACAAGAATGCAATTTTCTTTTAAAAAATTTTTATTGATACAAAATATGTGTACATATTTATGGGGTACATGTGATAGTTACATGCATAGACTATAAAATGATTGAGTCAGAATATTTGAGGTGTCTTATCACCTCAAGTATTTATCATTTCTATGTGTTGGGAACATTTCAAATGCTCTCCTCAACCTATTTTGAAGTATACAACACATTGTCATTGACTACAGTCACCCTTCTCCGCTATAGAAAGTTAGAACTCATTCCTTCTATATAACTGTATGTGTGTAATCATTAACCAGCCTCTTAATTATTCCCTCTCCTTCACCCATACACCCTTCCCTAACTCTGGTATCTATCATTCTCCTTTCTACCTCCAGGATATCAATATTTTTAGCTCCTACACATGAATGAGAACATGTGATATTTGTCTTTCTGTGCCTGTCTTATTTCACTTAACATAAGGACCTCCAGTACCATCCATATTGCTGCAAATTACATAATTTCATTCTTTTTTATGGCTCGATAGTATTCCATTGTGTATATATACCACATTTTCTTTATCTGTTTGTCCGTTGAATGACACTTAGGTTGACTGTATATCATTGCTATTGTGAATAGTGTTGCAATAAAATTGCAAGTGCAGATATCCCTTTGATATATTGATTTCTTTTCTTTTGGAATAAATAGTAGTGGAGTTGTTGAGTCTATAGTAGTTTTATTTTTAGCTTTATGAGAAACATTCACACTGTTTTCCATAGTGGCTGTACTAATTTACATTCCAACCAACAGTGTATAAGGGGTTCTTTTTCTCCACATCCTTGTCAACATCTGTTATTTTTTGTCTTTTTAACAATAGCCATTCTAATTGGGGTAAGATAATATCTCATTGTGATTTTGATTTCCCTGATGATTAGTGGTGTTGAGCATTTTTTCATATATCTGTTGGCCTATTTGTATATCTTCTTAGGTCCTTTGCCAACTTTTTAATGGGATTTTTTTGTTTTACTGTTGAGTTATTTGAGTTCCTTGTATATTCTGGATATTATCCCCTTGTTGTGTGTGTAGTTTGCAAATATTTTTTCCCTTTCAACAGGTTGTCTCTTCACTCTGTTGATTATTTCCTTTGCTGTGCACAAGAGTTTTAGTTTAATATAGACCCATTTATCTATTTTTATTTTTGTTGCCTGTGCTTTTGAGGTCTTATCAATAAACTCTTTGCCTAGATTAGTGTTCTGAAATGTTTCCTCTATGATTTCTTCTAGCAGTCTTATAGTTTCAGGTCTCACATTTAAGTCTTTAATTCACCTTAGGTTGATTTTTGTATTTGGTAAGAGATAGGAGTCTAGTTTGTTCTTCTGCATGTGGATATCCAATTTTCCCAGTACAATTTATTGAAGAGAGTATCCTTTCCCCCAGCATATATTCTTGGAGCCGTTATTGAAAATCAGTTTTCTGTCAACACATGAAGTTATTTCTGGGTTCTCTATTCTGTTTCACTGACCTATGTGTCTGTTTTTATGTCAATGTCATGTTGTTTTGATTACTATCACCTTGTGATATATTTTGAAGTAAGGCAGGTGATACCTCCAGCTTTATTCTTTTAGCCCAGGATTGCTTTGGTTATTTGGGCTCTTTTTGGATTCTGTATGAACTTCAGGTTGGTTTTTTCTATTTCTGTGAAAAATGATGCTGGAGTTTTTGTAGAGATTGCATTGAATCTATAGATTACTTCAGACAATATGGTCATTTTAATGATATGAATTCTTCTGATCCATGAGCATGGGGTGTCTTTCTATTTGTTTGCATCCTCTTCAATTTCTTTCATCAATGTCTTGTAGTTCCCTTGTAAAAGTCTTTCACCTTTTTGGTTAAGTTTACGAGGGCTGTCCAGAAAATATCTAGCCATGCAATATGTTCTTGTTATATTAGCAATGGCTGGATTCTTTCTGGACATTCCTTGTATTTTTAGGGTATTTTAATTTCTTTTGTATCTATTGTAAGTGAGATTGTCCTCTTGATTTCTTTCTCAGCTAGCTTATTATTAATATGTGGGGCGCGGTGTCAACGCCATTGCAAGATGGCGCCGACTTCCTGGTCACACCCATACCACAAGACTGATAAACAGGGTGAACCGCGCATGTGTAGGGGCTTTTTCCTGTCTCTCAGCAAGTATGCTAATGAGGGCTCTTGCGTGAGCCAATCAGATTCTGCCTAATGTACTTAGTGCCTATATAAGCCCGCTCCGAGAGCTCCTCGGGGTCTTCCGCTTTAGTTATCTTCAGATTCCCCAATAAAGCGCTGTCAGAAGAACTCCAGTTGCCGCGTCTTCCTTGCTGGCGAGGCGGGCGCGACATTAATATAGAGAAACTTTAGTGATATGTATGTCTTGCTTTTGCATTCTGCAAATTTGCTGAATTTATTTATCAGAACTAGGAAGTTTTGGGTGGAGTCTTTAGGTTTCTCTAGATGTAAGATCATATCTGTTGCAAAGAGGGACAATTGGCTTCCTCTTTTCAATTTGAATACCTTTTATTTCTTTCTGTTGCTTGATTGCTCTGGCTAGGATTTCTAATACTATGTTGAACAGGTGGGGTGAAAGTAGGCATCCTTGTTTTGTTCCAGTTCTTAAAGGAAAGTCTTTCAGCTTTTCCCCATTTAGTAGTATGTTAGTTATGTGTTTGGCATCTATGGCCTTTATTATGTTGAGGTATATTCCTTATATGTTTAGTATGTTGAGAGTTTTTATCCTGAGAATGTTGAATTTTATCAAATTCTTTTTCTGCATTTATTGAGATGATTATATGGTCTTTGTCTTTTATTATGCTGATGTGCTGTATTATGTTTATTGATTTGCATGTGTTGAATTTTTCTTACATTCCTGGAATAAATACCAATGGATTGTGGCGTATTATCTTTTTGTGCTGTTAGATTCTGTTTGCTAGTATTTTGTTGAGGATTTTTCATCTATATTCATCAGGGATATTGACCTGTAGTTTTCTTGTGTCTTGGTCTGGTTTTGGTATCAGTGTAATGCTGGCCTTGTAGGATGGGGTAGAGAGAACATGAACATCCTCCTCTTCCATTTTTTGAAATAGTTTGAGGAGAATTGGTATTAGTTCATTTTTAAAAATTTGGTAGAATTTGACAGTGAAGCCATCTGGTCTTTGACTTTTCTTGGTCGGGAGACTTTTAATTACTGATTCAATTGCATTACACTTTTTTGGTCTGTTCAGTTTTTCTATTTCATCCTGATTTAATCTTGGTAGGTTGTATGTGTCCAGAAATTTATTCATTTCCTCTAGGTTTTCTATTAATAGTTTGTTAGCGTATACTTGTTCATAATAGTCTCTGATGATCTTTCGTATTTCTGTAGTGAGAGTTGTGATGTCTCCTTTTTCTTTTCTGATTTTGTTTGAGTCTTCTCTCTCTTTTTTCCCCTTGATTAGTCTAGCTGGTGGTTTATCAATTTTGTTTATCTTTAAAAAACCCAAATTTATGGGTTTTTTTCTCCTTTGTACTATTTTTTATATCCCTATTTCATTTAGTTCTGCTCTAATCTTTATCATTTCTTTTTTCTGCTAATTTTGGGTTCTGTTTGTTCTTATTTTTTTAGTTTCTTGAAGTGTATTAATAGATTGTTTATTTGCAATCTTCCTACTTTTTTCATGTAGGTGTTTATTGCTATAAACTTCCTTTTTAGCACTGCTTTTGTACTCACTGCTTTTCTGTATCCCATAGGTTTTGGTATGTGGTGTTTTTTTTTAAATTGTTTCAAGAAAATTTTTTATTTCCTCCATAGTTTCTTCTTTGACTCAGTGGTTGTTTAGAAGCATGTTATTTAATTTCCATGGATTTTTACAGTTTCCATAGTTCTTCATGTTATTGATTTCTAGTTTTATTCCATTGTGGATTGAGGATATACTTGATATGATTTCCATTTTTTTAAATTTAATGAGACTTGTTTTGTGTCCTAATATATAGTCCATTCTGGAGGATGTTCCATGTGTGGATGAGAAGAATATGCGTTCTGTAGCTATTGGATGAAATGTTCTGAAAATGTCTATTAGGTCCATTTGGTGTAAAGTGCAGCTTAAATCCAATGTTTCTTTGTTAATTTTCTGTCTAGATGACCTGTCTCATGCTGAGATTGGGGTGTTGAAGTCTCCAACTATTAATAGAGTCTATCTTTCCTTTTAAATCTAATAACATTTGCTTTAAATGTCTGAGTGCTCCATTGTTGGGTGCATATATGTTTAGAACTGTTATATATTCTTGCTGAATTGGTCCCTTATCATCATACAATGATCTTCTTTGTCTCTTTTTACTATTTTTCTTTTAAAGTTTATTTTGTCTGATATAAATATAGCTACTCCTGATCGCTTTTGGTTTCTATTTGTGTGTAATATCTTTTTCCATCCCTTTATTTTTAGTCTATATGTATCTTTACAGGTAAAATGAGTTTCTTGTAGGCAGATTATAGTTTGGTCATAGTTTTTTATCCATTAAGCCAGACTATATTTTTTAAGTGGAAAGTTTAATCCATGTACATTCAAGGTTATTATTGATATGTGAGAGCTTATTTCTGTCATTTTATTATTAATAATTGATTTCTGGTTGTTTTGTATGATTTTTTTCTTTTCTTTCCCTTTCTTTCCCATAATAATGCTTAATTACAAGCATTATTATTGCTTATAATTGTGGTTTTGGTGGTT